AAGGGGGGGGGGGGGGGGGGTGTGGGGGGGGGGGGGGCTGTTACATGAGTGAGTTTTCACACTTTTCCCCCATTCGCAATGCGTTATAAATTATATTTTATAAGACTATCCATGGATCTAAGGAGAGGGGCCTTAGAGCCGGGAGAATTTGTTTTGATTTGGGAGGGGCGAAATTTATTTTGCATTTTATAGTCAACTAAGCTTATTTTTATCTTTATGAATTATCTTTAAATAATTTAGTTTCAGTTATTTATTTTTAAAATATTTTTTGGGGCGGGGGTGGCTATGGGAGACTGCAATCCGCCAGCTTCTTAATTTATATCAAACAGTTAATGCTAGCAATAACATGGCAACCACTTTTCCTACCAATTTTATGCATTATATAGCATCTTTATATTTTCCCCGTCTGAAAGGTGTGGATTTCTCTTAGGAGGATTAGATGGTTCACCTAGACAACAAAGCACCTCTCTCTACGTAACTGGATAACCTACGTGTGGATGATACCACGAGTTGTCGGAATGTTCATTGTGTCATTGCCATACCGCCTACGGGACTCCATCTCCGGATTTGAATTCACAGACTTCCCACCATAACAACCCCCACCCCAGTCGCCAACATCCCCTTAGATCGTAATTGAAATTGACAACTTTCCACAACAAACTTTCCCGATCTAGGCACATTCTCGCAGGTTAAAGACAAACTAAACATGTCTCTGTGAAGGCAGAGATTCATCTACACTCCTACGATTACCAAGTGACAATACATATATATTATGTAGACCTGTTAGGTATTTGACAATGACGGTTACGGGCATCCTGTCACATCTGTCAGTGTTGCAAGCGGAGAACGGAAATTGAAGTTCATCAAATTTTATTTACGCTCAACTATACGTCGTAGGAGATGCTTTGGGGAAATATCAATGATATCCAATGAACATGAACTAAATGCTGAGCTTGATTATATTAAATTGATCGAAGCTTTCGCAAAAAAAAGTTATTTTTAAATGGCGCCAAAATGTCCTGCGCCAAAACGGCAGCGCCAAAACGGCGGCGCCAAAAAGTCCTGCTTCGTTTTTTTAATAACATGGGGAGTAATTTAAAAAAGTGGGGAGGGGTGCTTTGTGAAAAGTATCGGGACGAACCAGAAGCAAAATATATACAAATACATGTATAAGTGATTCAATTTAATTTAAAATATTTTTAGAAATGTTTTTCCTTTTTCTACAACAAAACTTTGGCCCCCATCAATTATCCGAGACCCTCCAAGATCTATGTGACGCCTCTGATCAGATATACCCAATCTTTTGGGCTTGGGGAAAAAAATAATAAAATTTAAAAAAGTGTAGTTTTTGTTGTTTCAGCACACGACAAACCAGGAAAAAAAACTCAACCACCCCACCCCCCAAAAAAACAAACAAAAAAAAACAAAAACAACAACAAACACAAAAAAAAAAAAAAAAAAAAAATAAACAAAAAAAAAAAACAAAAA